GCGAGTACGTTGCCTTTGGACAGCCAACGAGAGTTGCAATAATAAATTAAAGAGGTGTGCACGGCCGTCAGTTCTTCACAAAGTTTATGGAAAAGTCTTGATTTCATGGGTTGTGTTTTAATGTAGTTCACCACTTTAATAACGCTATCCATCGCAACACTTAATTCAGGTGTAAAGTTTTTTGCTGCTAAGGCCTTTTTATGTATGACACTATTTGTCCATTTTACACTTGGAACCTTGGTTTTTATAACTCCTCCATACTGTGCAAACATCGCTCGGGTACATTCTTTTACCATATAAGAGGCTAGCAATGCTTTGGTAGGAATTGGTTCTCTCGAAACCAAAGAGGTGGTCTGATGTTTTAGCTCTTGCAATTTTCTCACAAAAAAGTCTCTTGGCGTACCGTGTAAATAATTGTGAGTTGATTCCAAATACCGTTTTATTTTATTAGGAAGCATACTTCTAGCCACCAATACTTTGTGACAAACAACACATTGTGGAAGTTCTACATTCCCTTTAGTAATGCAGGTAAATCCAAAATCCAAATATTGGTCGTCATATTTCCTATACTTTCTCTTTTTACTTAACATTACTGCACTTGCCTGATTCTTCAGTTCGTTTTCTATTCTTTTGAATATACAAAACAAAGACCACAGATAAGATGGGTTGATGACATTAAAAGAATAGCCGGAACAAATTGGAAATATGTTGCTCAGGATAGAGACCGATGGAAGGAGTTGGGACAAACCTATGTCCAAACATGGACGATAGAAGGCTAGGAAGAAGATACAAAACAAAACAAAAGCTTGACTAAATGACATAACAAGCGCGACAGTAAGGAACACGGGGAGGGGAGCCGACCGGCGAAACAGAATGCGTCCGGTGCTCACTCAACTCCAGTGTTGCCAATGTCTGGATAATTCGGATAATTCAAGGGTCTATCGAGTCTATTGATTTATTATATGATTTATTTATTAATACATATATTGTATACTCATTTAAAGTCAAATAAATATATTTTCTGTATTAAAAGTCTGCGCTGACACGCGACGCTCCTGGGACAACGCAGCGACGCCCTAGGCGCACAGTTTGGGAAGCTCTGGATTACATTGCAAATGTCACTAGGTCAGCGCGTGTTTTAGTTACACAGATATTTTAAATTTTAAATTTTTAAACTGAATTGGGTTACTTAGATTTAATGCTTAATTAAATCCCGATACAATAATAAGCCACATGAAAATGGCGTCGAGTTCACATACACGTGCTGATTTTTCGTCTAAATCTAGTGACGTAGAAATTTTTGTTTATTTTTTCACTTACCACATTTTTGTAAAAATTGTTTCATTTATATTATTTCACGTTTCATTTATATATCGACAATTTTTAATGTCAGCTACATGCGCGAAATCAATGTTCAATAAGATTGGTATCGGCCTGACTGAATTCAATATCTTGTGATTTGAGTGTCCTATCGACAAAAATTAAGATGCGTCTTAAAAGAGTGCAGCTTTTATACGCAATTTTTCTATTTTACCGAAAATAAACCAATAGTTTTAATAAAGGCGTTAAGTAAATAAAGGTGGCAGGATTATTGCTTCTCATGGGATCAATAAAATTTATCATTTTTATTAACCGACCACTGTAGAGTTTCGATAGCTAGAGCCTAATCTTTTAAAGCCTACAACATTTAAATTTAGTTTAGTGTTGGCAATAAATATGAGGCATTTGAAATGTACTTAAAAAATACTGAATTTAAACTTTCACATTACAAGCGATCTAAATAATTTAAAACTGCTCTTTTTCAATTATACGAGGATAAATTGATATTAAACTATTCTTTGATAGATGGCGCTACTTGATACCGAATTGGTTTTTGGTGTTGACATTTGTCATTCATGACATGACGTCTGTCAAAATTTTAAGTTTTAAAAACAATTAGTTTGGTTGTTACAGCCGTCAAAAACAAACAAATTTTGTGTTTTCGGAGAAATGGAAAAAGTCGAGTATCGTTAGGTGATTAAAATCCTCCACAAAAAGGGTAAACGAATGTGCAAATCAAAGCCGACCTGGAAGAAGTTTATGGTGAGGTTGCACCTTCGTTGTCAACAGTAAAATTTTGGAAAGCTGAATTTGTTCGTGGTCGTACGAGTCTTTTTGGTAATGAGCGTCCCGGGAGACCAAATGAAGTCACCACGCCGGATACGATCAACTAAGTCTATGACATGATTATGGCAGATCGTCGAATTAAGCTCTACGAGTTAATAGAGGTCCTAAACATTTTCTACGAATACGTACACAATATCGATTACCAACATTTGGATATGAAAAAGCTATGTGCCGCGTTTGCTGACAATCGATCAAATGCAAAAACGTGTGACCAATTCGGAGACGCTTTTGGGGATGATACGGCGCGATCCTAAGAGTTTTTTTTCGCCGATTTATCACCGTTGATAAAACTTGGGTGCATTATTACACACCGGAAACCAAAAAACAGTCGAAACAGGTGCGTAAACGCAGCGAAGGGCCGCCGAAGAAGGCAAAGAGTGCACATTCGGTCGGCAAAGTGATGACGACTGTTTTCTGGGATGCGAAGGGCATCATTCACATCGACCACTTGGAAAAAAAAACAATTAATGGTGAGTACTACGCAGCATTAATAGGTCGACTTGATGTCGAATTGCGTCGAAAATGCCCGGTTTGGAACGCAAAAAAGTGCTCTTTCACCAAGACAATGCACCGGCTCACCGATCGGATGTCGCCATGGCAAAATTACACGAATTTGGCTATGAATTGGTTAAACATCCACCGTTGTCTCCAGATCTTGCCGTCAGCGATTTTTTCTGTTTCCAAACTTAAAAAAATATCTCGGAGGACGCCAAGTGTATCGAGCTAAAAGGGGACCATGTTGAGAAATAAATCGATTTAATTCCAAAAAACTTGTTTTTTCTATCAAAGGCTAGTTTTATATCAATCCACCCCCATACTAGTACGTTTTTCATAACTACTTACCTTCTGCTGCAAATTACACTTAAAACCATTTCCTTGGCCATTTCCCGTGACTTACGGTAGTTTGTAATGTAAAAGTTTAAATTCTGCGTTTTCTAGTCATATTTTAAATGCCGCAAAATACAAATTTATTATAAATTTTTAAAAACATTGATTTGATATATTTGATATATATTTATTTTACATTGATATTTGATACAAAACCGCCAGTCGCTTCAAGCGTTGTTTCTGAGAGAATATTTTCACACAGAACACAGAAAAAGTGCTAATTAACATTTTTTGTTTAAAAACATCTCAGCTACATGTTTTATTTAAAATATTTTTTTCCACGGGGTACAGGTTCTTGATAAATCGATTTTTTTCAGCTTTTATCCCTCTGCGAGGGGAGTTTTAGGGAAAAACTCAAAGGTAAAAATGGTAAACATTTTTGTCTTTTTTGTGGTCTCAAAATTATTATTCTCGGCAAAATTCACCTTTTTCGTATGATTTTTAGGGGTTAAATCTCTGGTGATTGGACTAATACAGAAAATTATGCTTCTGTCAAAATTAACCACGGTGCATGCATTTTATTGTAAAAAAAATGGCTTTATAACTTGGAGATTTATGGCTGTATCAATGATAAGGGATACATGTACCTACTCATAAAACGAAGATCAAGCTAAGTGCGAAACGGATGAGGTTACTTCTGTTGTGATGAAATTTCTAGAGAACAAGTCAGGTTATAAAGAACTCATTGTTTTTCCAATAACTATCCAGGTTATAAGAACTGGAAGTATTTTTGGTTTCAGTTTGTCAAAAAAAAAATTAAACAAATAAAACATTCAATTTCTGGTTAGTGGTCATTCTAAAGAATAGTTTAAAGAAATTGAGACATTAATGTTATTAATACTTTTTAAAATTGTAATATATGACTACAGTTTATATGTTAATTATATGTGTATATTGTAATTTTTGTAAGGAAAAAGGGTTCATCCCGTTAAATAAACAAACAAACAAACAAATCAAAACCATTAGTTCATTATATAATAAATCACTGCAGATCCTTGCCTATGCTGATAATATTAATATTGTTGATAGAACGGAAAGCGGTGACCGAGAGGCGTAAGCATTAAAAAAATCAGCTACAAAAATGGGTTTAATAATAAATACCAACAAAACGAAGTATACGAAAGTAAGCATGCAACCACAAATCATACGACCACTTGTTATAGAAAATGATACTACCGCAAAAATAAACCGCAGAAACAATATCCTCCTTAAATTCTCAATTATATCAAGAAATACAAAAATAAAACTATACAAAACAATAATACGTCCAGTCCTAACATATGGTTCAAAGACCTGGACTCTAATAAAAAGTAATGAAAACATATTAGGATGTTTCGAACGAAAAGTGCTAGGGCGAATCTATGGAGCAATGAATGACAATGGAGTAGGGAGAAGATTATACAACTTCAAACTTTATAGAATATACCAGGAACCAGATATTGTACTCGTAAAACATATTAAGATAGGACGTCTGAGGTACAGCATATAATGCGGATGGACCAAAATGACCCAGCTAGAAAAATGCTTCTTGATAGACCCATGATAGGTCCATTGGTCAAAGAATAAGAGGAAGACCCAGAACATGGTTCCTTGATAACATCGATAAGTACATGAGAAATATGGGAATACTTGCTTGGCGGAGGAAAGCGATGGATTGGCACGACTGGAGAGAAATTCTTGAAGAAGCTAGGACCCAAACAGTGTTGTAAAGTCAGAATAATGATGATGATAATGGATATTTTAGCCTTCTACAGATGATTTCTGACGACTTCTTATATAAAATAATTAAGGAAATATGAATTTCATATTTTGGAAATTTCTATTGCGTTTTATGCATTTATTTTATTTAAACGTTTAGTTAAATACATATTGCATATGTATTTATTTTATTTAATTTGTTTTTGAAAGTGCATGGGCACCTTCATTTTAAATTATTATTTTTTTAGGTTTGAAGACGGAACTCTGCCTTTTCTTTCAATTCTTGCTCTAAAATATGGATTCGATACTATCAAAAGATTGAATCTTTCCTTTGACTTGATATCAGAACATACCTTTTCACTTGCACAATATGTTTATAAAAGGTTGTTAACTTTACATCATTCAAATGGCGCGCCAGTGGCTATTTTATATCACGATACGACTTTTGTTACATCACAGCATCAAGGACCGATTGTGAATTTCAATCTACTTAGGTGTAATGGCGAACATGTCGGATATTCAGAGGTAAGTCAATATGTTTCAAAATGTTGAAAAAAATTTACATGTTCAAGGTTACAAAGGGTTACAAGGTCATTTACAGGTTACAAAGAGAACAAAAATTGGTTCAATCGCTTTTTTTGCTAAACATCAATTGATGGAAAGTTTAACAGAAAAATTAAAACTCCACCTAGTGGAGTCCTACGTTGCCATGTGATCAATTACTTTTCTTTATAACTTAATCATTACAGTTTTTAAATATCAAATATTTAAATCCAAGGTAATAAAACTACATTTAAAGGGATTTTACCCACATACTTAGTGGCTTCAAACATATACGTCAGTTATCACTGATGATGGAAGTTATTCCGAAAAAGTTCTGTGATGTACCCCGATAGGGTGTTTTATTAATATACCTCTTATAAAGAAAGTTTTTAAATAAAAATGTTTTTAAAAGTAAATATTCTATTTTAAAGAAAAAAAGCATTGTAACAATTAACACATAACAATATGTAAAAAAAGTCCATACAAAAAATATCGGTAGTCAATTTCGGTCAAAACATTTCCTACGGCAACCTCCTAATTTATTAAATTAAATATGTTGTTAACTCACCAAGAAAATGATACAAAGAATACACACTTGTACCAAACAACTAGGTATAATCAATGAAATAATATTATATACTCGTATCTACTAGTTATTTTGTATAAAAACAATGGTTCATATCCAACCCCGCAACTAAACGCTAAATGTACGATTTAATATACTGTACTAAAAAGGAAAAGACAGTTAAGATTTAATTTCACTTATAGTGCGTCTATGTAGCCGCTTATACGTATTTCGGCCTGATGGGCTTCGTTAGAACGGCAATTCATAGTCGCTCTGAACGTGAAGATAAATCCCTTCTATCTTAGGAAGCAACTCTAACATGGCTTCGAATGGACGCAAATAGTGACATATGATATTAAAATCATATGTTTTCATATATATGATTTCATATAATATATGATTTCAAAATCAAAATTTTCTGAATACGGATTTTAATATCAGATGTCGTATTTGCTTCAATTTTTAAATCACTGCTTTCCTAGGAGGTGGATAGGAAGACGAGGATTTATAGAGTAGCCAGCAAGGTCGCCAGATCTAACACCTCTAGACTTTTTCCTGTGGGGTTATATGAAATTAAAAGTTTATGTCAATAGACCCCAAAACTTACAGGACTTGAAAGATAGAATTAGGCATGAAATGAGTCTAATTACTCCAGAAGTCATCCGCAATGTACTTGATGAATGTGTCCGTAGATTCTTACATTGTCAAGAAACCCATGGGTGGCAATTGGAACATTTAATTTAAAATAATTATTATGCATAATTTCGTTACTTTAAAGTACATTAATAATTAAATGATTAGTTGTAATTTAGTTAAATTTAAATTAAAAAAAATTGTTTTTGTGCTCTTAAAAAAATGTTTTAGTTAAAAATTTAATGTCGTTAAATAGAGAATTAAATTCTCCTTCAAATGAGGTGTCGAATTATACCGATTTCTATTTAAAAAAATTAACGATTACGTCACTACACCCACACCGGTGATGTCATCCCTACTCCATGTACGTTATAAGATGGGTATTTTACAACGAAAATCGACCTGTTTCGGGATTTCCCTCAAAACTCAACGGTTCTTGAAATAATGATAATATTCCATAATTTCGCCGTTCACTGTTCACTGTAATATATGACGCATAAATTTATCAAAAAATATATACATTTGGCTGGGTGAGAACAATTTCGGGGAACTACAGAGGTAATCTTCAATAGAGGTTATATATCGTCGTTAGGAATGAAATATCTCCAATGTGAAAATATCCTAATTTAACAGGAGACACAAAAAACAGTTAAATAACGCTATTTTATATTGTATTAAATTAGTAATTGATTTTTTTGGCCAAACTAAGATTGATATTGATATTAAGTTGAAATTGATTCCTTAAATCAGTACAAAACATTAAACTAATAAAAAAATATTACAAACGCGCACATTGGAGAAATTATAAATAATTGAACCGGTGAAGGAATTTCAAATATTGTGTATGGCATGTCATAGTACTATACACCTTGAATTTGGTGTTATTAGGGGAAAAAGAGTCATATAAACACTGAAGTGATTTGTATTATCTTTATTTTAAATAAACAAACTTCGACATGTAGTATCAGTGTATGATATTTTTACGAACACCACCGAAAGTATTATTTTTGTTGATTTTAGGAAGAGTATCGTAAAAGTGATGATGATCTTTTTCAATAACTGATTTGAGGTCTTGCAGATGTTTGAACTTGTCTTCTGATATTTCAGGAGGTGTCTTGAAGAACGAGTTTTCATAAACCGACAGGTCTTGGCTTTCTCTTCTGTGTGGTAGTAGCTTCCAGTTATCTGAGTAATCAGTGGTGTAGTATACCTCTCCATTGGGACTATATTTTAATTGTCTTATATCTACAACTTACGGATCTTTGGGATTTTTTTTCCAGGTCTTATTGAACGAAAGTTACTATCAATAGCATACTTTTTAAAGAACGTAAAATCTACGTTTTTAATATTATACGGATGTTTTGGCCGAGCAAGACGCATTCTAGCAATGTAATCCATCGGTGAATTAATTGGAGTCTGAAAGTAATGTTCCAAAGTTAAATGAACTGAATCTGCTTCCATCATAGTATGGCCTTTTTCAAGATATAACTGCTGTATTGTAAGGGATTTTGCTCTTGCTGAATCACTTAAAGCACAAGCCAGAGTTCTTTTTCGATTTTGGTAGTTGCATCCATCTTAGATGAATACAAGAGTTTCATAGTTAGCAGGAATATTATTTATATAATCTATAAGACAAGATGTAAATTCATTGCTACTGACTCCACCATTTGCTTCATGCCAAACGTACAACTGGACATCTTCATCATTTAGAGAATAAATGGTTAAGTTGTGTACTTGGACTTTGAGCTTATAATACGATTGGAAAGCTAATACTTTTGGACACGTTAAGAAACTTTGAATATCATCTGTGAGAACCAATTTTTCAGATTTTGCGCTACTTTTGTCCGTCTTCCTTCTTTCTGCTTTGCTGATCACAATCTACGGTACTTATTGTCTTCATTTTATGTGCAACACACGTATCACATTGATCTTTCCTTTGCTTATTATGTATGCCAATTTTCTCTGCTTCTAAAACAACTTTAAACAACTTGATATGAGCAACTGACTGCTTTCTATCATCGCACCATTCTTTATATAATCTGTACATGTTATTTGTTGTTATGATACTGTTGTCAACATATATTCTGCTAGTAGATGCTCTACAATAGTGTGAAGGAACTTTAGGAATATCTTGCAACCATTCCATAACATTATTTTCTTTGCAAATTTGTCTCATTTTTCTTATAGTAATCTTGTTGAATGTTGGAATCTTATAGAATTTCACTAGAAGTATCAATTTCATGAGTGGCTGGCTCCCTTGAGACCCATCGTTTCATTTTGTCTTCTCCTAAATTTAATGTGTTCAAAAACATAACTCTCGGCATACCTTGAGGTAACTTCCGTTTTTAGAAACAAAAAAAGTCACGAGCACTCTTCTTTTTGGACCGTTTGTCTGAATTTGAGTATCTTTTCGGCGCCTTTGCACTGCTCTTGCCCGAACAAGATTTTTAACATAAGTGCTTCTATGTTCCCACGACGTAAATGTCCAAAAAATTTTAAAAATTCGTAGTCTATCGTCCTGCGTAATTAAAGAACATCTAAATGGATAACAGATGAACATCTTCTTTTAAACATTTTGGCGTTATAATATGGTTACATCGCTCCTTAACTGACATGCCATTCCGTCTGGTAATACGTTGTACATCGCCAAAACACAAATTTTGCCTTTTTCCTGTTCCAATATAGTAGCTGCAGGCAAACTGAAATAAGAAAAATAATTATTACCTACTTAATTTAAGCAATAATGAGATGAAAGATATCTAACCGTAATAGTGAATTTGTTTACATACCTGTTGTTGGATTTTTCATTATAAATTTCATTTTCAATAGGAGCAAAAGTTTGGATAGAATTTTGCCGATCTTACTTAAGTGAATTTTGTACAACTATTTTAGTTCTTGTCTTGAAAACACTCATTTTGCGCTGGTAAATAGCTTATTTGAGAAAATTTGAGGATAGGAATTTGACAGATGAAAGTATGAAATACCTACAATGTGCAGATATTATAATAGATAATAGCTCCAATGTGTTTTTTAAGCACATTGGATTTATTTCAGTCCAACAATTAATAATATGTTACATTGGAGTAATGCATTTTTATACATTAGAGAAGTTAGGAATCGGTACGCACATTGGATATTTTTCTAGACTGTAAAACTATTCATAGCGATTCAGAATCGTTTAAAATCTGAATTACTAGAAATTTGCACATTGGAGGTATTTCATTCCTAACGACGATATGATATGTGGCGCGTAAAAGTATTTAAAAAATACACGTTCAGTCAGTTCAGTCTCTCCTGACAAATTAAGACAAGAGAGAAGAGACCAGACTCAGATAATTTTAAGACAATCTAACCCAATTCATCTAGTCCTCTTTGAAAATAGAAATTCTAAGGGAGCTATATAGAGCTCTTTGAAAATAGCGTCTTGTAATGAGTTTTTGTTAAATACCTCCAAAACGCTTCTATTCAGAAAAACGAAAACTGGTACGATTATTTATCCTTCAGAGTTGAATCGATTTCATTAATTGCGAATTTCTAGTACCGATCATAGGCGTCCGTTTTGGGTAGGTCAACGGTTATTTTAAAGCATAACTTTTCTGTCCTTATCTTTTAAGTTTTTGTGATACTAGATTATTAAATTGTCAGGTATTTTAGTACTAAAAGTACTTCTACTCTAAGTCGATAGGATAAACTGGAAGCAGGATGACCTGCCAAGAGAAGTACGTTTTGCATTGACAAATTGTGTTCAGTTCGCGAAGTTTATCTTTTAGTTTTTTACTTTGTG